AAACGCCTCCAGTGCATCCCAGGTAGAGATGCCACCAGACGGGAGCCTGCTTCTTCCCAGTGCTCACTCTCCCCAGTGAGAAGGGACTCAGACCTCCTGGCCCCACTCCCCATCAGTCATACAGACTCTGCCCAGAGTCCATCCAGCTCCTATCCCCTGTCACTGGCCCCCTCACCGCACCTCACCACCCCTCCCTTTCAGGAGGGCTCATGGCTGAGTGTGGCCCAGCCTTCCCTTCCTCTCTTGTGTGTTTCTCCTCACCTCATGGCTTCTAAGAGTAAAAGGGCTCCTCTGTGTCACCACAGTGTTTGGGAGGAGTGGGTGTTTAATGGAACTTAGACTCGAAGCTGTAAAATGGGCCTCCAAGACAGCAGGAAGTCAGCTCCTTCCCAAGAATCATCACGGTCCTGTGGGCCTTAGAGCAGACCAGCCTGGACTCTAGCCTTGGCCTGGTCTCAGCCTCTGTCCTTCTGCAGCTCTTTGTGTTCAGAGAAGAGGTCAATCAGGGAACCTATGGCCTGGCCTGCTAGGAGGGGCGAGCCCTGCCACCAAGGGCTGGACTCCGATGACACCAGGAGTGCCCAGCCACCCTGCTCTTGTTTGATGTTGGACCTGAAATTTCCCTTTCTCTTTATTTGTCCGTAGCGTGACAGGTTCTTTTATTTTTCCTTTTTTAATTTTTGAATTTCTTCTCATCCTTGTTTCCTATCTCATGCTCTTTATTTTGACTTGGCAAAATTTGTGGGAGAGGGTGAGAGTTTTCCTTGGTGGGTCCCAGGGCACAGGCCAGGCCCATGCCTTGGCAAGATCAGCTCCCAGACTGAATGAGCTTGGGACACCGGCCAGCGTCACAAACCCTGTGGCTTTGGGCAAGTCCCCTCACCCCTCAGAGCCACCACTGCTCATCCCATGTGCTTCAGGGGCCGTGGTGGGACCAGCTGGGCAATGAGTACACGCAGCCCGTGGAGAGGAAGGCTCTCTGCCGAGGGGACTGCACCAGCAAAGCCACAGGGGCAGAGGGCCACTTAAGCCAGCACACAGGCAGGTTCCTGTCTGACTCAGAAGAAAGACCCTCAGTGTGCTTTCAACAGTAATGCAAACAAGTATTTCCAGCACTCTACGGCTTACCATATGCTTCTCCTCCTGGACTTTATTAGTCCTCTTAGCAGTTTGGTAAGGTACCACTATTAGCACTAGTGTATTAGGACCACTTTACAGATGAGGGCACACATAGCTTGCCTAGAGATGCTCGGCTGGGTAGGTGTGGGGCAGAACCCAGGCCAGGTCCTCTCCTGCCCACTGCCTGCCCAGGTTAGTACCTTGTGAGAATGAGACAATCAAGGTGTGATCCGCCGACCATCATTGCTGTGCATTTACTGTACAAAGGAGGGCACCTCACGGCCACAGAGGATGACCACGCTCTGCCACTGTGTGCAGAGCCACAGAGTCCTCTAGCAGAAAGACGTCTGAAACTCACAGCCCTGCAACAATGGCTGGATCAGCAGCCCCGTGGCATTAGTTTGTCCCCAAGGCCTCTGGTCTGCAAAGGGTAGCCGGTGCTGGCAGGGCTTCTTCCACTGCTGCATCCTTTCTGGACAAGCAACTCGAGGGATCCCTGTATCTCTCTGTGGCTCACCTCCTAGGATTTTATTTTCACTCAGGTCATTTCAGCATGACTCCTTCGCCTGAACTTTTCCCCTTGGGTGGGTGAGATTGAACCTCCTCTCCCCTTCCCAACTCAGTTCAGTAGAATCTACCAAGTATCTGGTGTGAGTCAGGCTGTGAGCATGGAGTGCTGAGTGAGATGTGCTCTCTGCCCATGAGAAGCCCAGGGTCTAATACAGAAGAGAAGGCAGCTCCCGAGTCACTGGAATATGGGTGAGAAAACTGTGAGTTTTTAAGAGAGGTACACGGGCACTGGTTGGTGAGGAGTATGAGGACCTGGGGAGGGCTTCATGGAAGAGGTGACCTCTGAGCCAGGCCTGAAAGCCTTGGTAGGTGGAGATGGCAGGAAAAGGTGACCCAGGTGGGTTGAGTAGTGCACAAAACACAGAGAGATGGGAAGCATGGTGGGGCCGGGCCCAGTGTGCAGTTGCAGGAGGTCAGCTGTGGAGGTCCAGCCACAAGGTGGGTTGGGGCCTGGCCTGAAAGCCTTGAATCTTATTTGATGGAGCCTGGGTCCAACCTTGTGCAGATCTTGTCTGTGTTTTTCAGACATCACTTGGGCTGCACTGCCAGAATACGAGAGAGTGGAGGTGAGGGTCCAGGAGAGAGATGCCAAGGCTGCCAGGTGGCAGCAGAGAAGCAGGGCATTCTGTGGGGCAGCCGACACAGCACCAGTAAGACTCAGTTACCTAATGAGCCACGGGAGGTAGAGAGGGAAGAGCCAGAACCACCCCCATCCCTATTGTCCCAGATCCTATTGGATCCAAGCTCAGCCAGGTGGCTCCAATGGGCTCACCTGGGGCATGGGACAGGTGCCACATGCTCCACCTCAGCTTCTGCCTGCATCATGCAGCGATGTCATCTGTAGTGCCTCACCACGAGACACGAGGGAGTCTGATTACCAGCAGCCAGGACCCTTCCTTAGCTACTCCTGCTAAAGAAGCACCTGCTGAGGGGTTGCTGCTTGGAGCTTTCCAAGGGCCACCAGCAGTCTGCAGCAATGACCTTCCTCCCTGTCCCTCCCCTAGACTGCCACGGGGAAGCTGTGCCTGGGGAGGAGGAGACAAGGAGTAAGGAGCCGGTGGGAACCTCAGGTCTGTCACAGTTACTCTGGGTGACAGTGGACCACTGCTCCTTGCTGGGCCTTAGCTCCCACCCCTGAAACAAAGGGACTTGACTTTAATGTTCAGGGCCCTCATAGCTCAAAACAGTTGAACATTTTCTTAGTTTCAGCGCAGTCAAGTGTTATCCTTTCCTGCTCTGACATGTCTAAAACTCCAGCCAGTTTTTAATTAGGTCTTCAGTGCAGGGGCCAGAGCTCCCTGGAAGGGCCAGGGCTCCTACTGGACTTCCCCACCCTCTCGAGGAACAGGTCGGGAGGGTGTTGGGAGGATATCAGCCCAGCAGGCAGAATGGGGAATCCAAAGCACACAACCACACACACATCTGTGGGCAGCTGGCTGCCATCTGGGGACCTGACATGGGTGGAAAACAGTTGGAGTGAGCTGGGCAAGGTCAAGCCACAGACACAGAAGGATCCTGCAGCAGCTGGTGGACCCCAAGCATGGAAAGGCCTCCATCCTAGGACAGGGACTTAGTCCCCAGAAGGACGAAATCCAGATTTAGGAGTGAGCTCGGCCACTGAGACCAGGTCTTAGAACAAGGCAGATATCCAGTCATCCAAGCCAGAGCCCAAGGCCTGTACCGAGCTCACAGCCAAGCAGCTCAGGCGCAAGTCCCAGACATGGAGTTGAAATGCCAAAAATCCCTCCTGCCTCAGCCAGAATGAATGGCAATCGGGGGATGAGGGGTGGGGGTGGCGAACACATGTCCACAGCATCTTGCACACCATCCAAGGGCAGCTTGCAGCTCTTCTGGCAGTATACGAGTCTGCCACCTTGAGCCTTCATTCTTCAAGCTGGTTTCAATCTGACACCACCATCTGAGTTTAAGAAAGAAAGTGGCATTTGCAGGTGGTTTGTATCTGCTACTTGCTGTATGTGAGACCTTGGGCAAGTCATTTAGCTTTTCTGGCTTCCCAGCTGTTACAAGTCCTTAGGGGAGCCTTCTTACAGGTTTGTGAGAATTTGAGTTAAATTTAAAATTAAATTCAATTAAGAAAAGTGCCTGGACATTGCTCTGGTAATGTTCACATATTCATTCATTCTGTTTCTTAAGAACAAGGAGGGAAGAGCAACTAGGACCTTGGGCCTCTGTGAAGTAGGAGGGAATATACATGTCCCCACATCATCGATGTGGTTGTAGCTTGAATATTTCTGTCACATCATCCTGGGGCAGAAACAGTGCCACTGCCCCATCTAGTCATTACAACTCTCTGCAGTTCCCTAGTGACACCTGAGCTGGCAGAGAAGGAACAGTCAGCTCTGTCTCAGGTGGGGGCACTGAAGCTTACCTGTGGCACAGCACAGGAAGCCCTGACGCAGGGTCCAGGGCAGAGTGTGGCCAGAAAGTTCCGCACCAGTCCAGAACAAGGGGAGCAATGGCAGGGCCTGGCTCCTTCCCACCCTTTGCAGACAGCAGGGGTCACCCCAGGGCTGGAAGCATGGGCCTCAGCTCAGACACACCCGGGTTTTAACCATAATATCCACCAGCAGTCAGTGTCAGTCCTTTGCTCAGAAAGTAGAATAAAGTAGATTTCTTAGGTTTGCCAATTCCCAGTTCCCTGGTGATTTTAGTTAGAACATCCTGGTGGGAGGTAAAGAGGCTGGAGTCACTGTTAAAGCGTTGAGGGATGGTGGCCAGCATGAAGAAGGTAGTTTGAGAGGGAGGGCAAGAAGGGCCAATAACTGAAAGGGATGACTTTTTTTTGAGGTGGAGTCTCAGTCTGTCACCCAGGCTAGAGGACAGTGGCACGATCCCAGTTAACTGCAGCCTCCGCCTCCCGGGTTCAAGTGATTCTCCTGTCTCAGCCTCCCAAGTAGCTGGGACTACAGGAGTGCACCACCATGCCCAGCTAATTTTTGTATTTTTCGTAGAGACGGGGTTTCCATGTTGGCCAGGATGGTCTCGATCTCTTGACCTCATGATCCACCCGACTCAGCCTTCCAAAATGCTGGGATTACAGGCGTGACCCACCATGCCTGGGCTGAAAGGGAGGATTTTTAACCATGTGAAATTTTGGGTCTTACTGGTTTAGAATGAAGAGCCATAGTGAGTGAGGATAGTACGTAGGTGTGAGTGAGGCCAGCATTTAAAAGATTCTTAAGGATGTCTCTTCTGCAGCCAGGAGGAGGGGCAGAGATGGAGTGCACTCCAGGGGGGTTTGTCGGGGCCTTCCTTCTAACCACTGTGTTTCTATGTTTCTCTGCCCACAGGCCCCTCCAGCCAGCGTCAGGTGCAGAATGGCCCCTCTCCTGATGAGATGGACATTCAGAGAAGGTAACCCAGCACCCCCAGGGGCCAGCCTGGCCATCTCCCAGTAGGGCTGGGTGGCCACGGGTACCTTCAGTGGATGAGGATGCACCAACACCCAGGGCCAGGACTCCCAGAGGCACACACTGGGGGAGGGTGCAGGGTGCAGCCCAGACCAGAAAGAAAGAGAGGGCTGATGCGCAGCCGCTGTTCCCAGACAACAAAACCAGGAATGACTGTGGGAGTCTGGTGTTCTACAGAGAGCGCCGCTGACCTCCAATGGGACGGCTCTCAGGGTGACCCAGTAGGGCCCAAGTGCTGCTCCCTTGTTGCCTCACTTCCCCATCCCCAGGGTAGCAGGAGACAGTCCAGACATGAGGGATTCAGCCTGGGGGGCAGTCCCTCCCACCCCATGGAGCTTCTAAAGTGTTAGCACAGGGGGAAGAGGAAGGGCCAAGGGTGTTGTCCTGAAATTACAGAAGAGGTCATGGTGGGTCCCCATGAACAGCCTCCCAAGGTCATAGTGCCATGAAATGGCAGAGACAGGACTTAAAGCCAGGTCTGCCCTCTCAGTGATGGGTGCTCTGCCTCTTCTGTGTGAGGGGGGTTGAGCCTGGCCCAGACCGTCCTCACTCAGCTCTGTCAGATAGGGAGTAAAGCTGCGGCTCTCTCTGGCTACACTCAAGTCCAGCCCTGGAGTAGGAGTCAGGAAAGCCGGCTTCTGCCCCCACCTACACCTCTCACCAAATGGCGTGGAACTTGCCCCAGCACCTCCTCTCCTTTAGCCTTTTCCTAAGACTGACAAATGAATGCCTTGCAACCTTGGGCAAGTTCCTGCTCCAGGCCTCAGTTTCCCAATGTAAAGATGGTATTGGCCTTGCTCTGCCTGTCTCACCTGCTCACCCTCAGGGCTTTTCTTACTGTTGCCCACATGAGTCAGCTGAAACCCAAAGAATGGAAGTGACTTGCCAGAGTAACCAGGAGTCAGGCAGAACCCAGGCTGGCAGGCAAGTCTCACTCTAGCTGCAGCTCCCTGCAGGACCCGAGGCCGGTCCCACTCACAAAAGGGCGTGAAGGAGTGAGCCCCACTAGGTACCAAGTGTAAGCGTACAGGAGTGGATGGCCACTAACTCGGTCCGGGCGTGAAGGAGTGAGCCCCACTAGGTACCAAGTGTAAGCGTACAGGAGTGGATGGCCACTAACTCGGTCCGGGCGTGAAGGAGTGAGCCCCACTAGGTACCAAGTGTAAGTGTACAGGAGTGGATGGCCACTAACTCGGTCCTTCAGTTGTCCCGAAACTGCTTCAGCACCCGCAGTGCTGAATTCTGTACCCCAGGGCCCAAACTAAGCTGTGTGGGATCACTGGCCGCCTGGGAATGGGAACACCGCCTGGCAGTCAGGGTGTGAACTGCAGGGTGAACACCCCTGCCCCAAGGTGGGAATGTAATCGAATTCCAGGGAGCGGGGGAAGCTCAGCTCCCCTGAGAGGACAGCCTTCCAGGCTCTTGGTCTCTCACTCACCCAAGAATGGGAGGGAGGACCCCACCGGGTGCAGTGCACCCGCAAGTAAATATTGGACCCCAAAGAGTTTTGGAGAAAGTGATTTATTTAGGCAGAGAAAGAGAAAAAGATGAGAGAGAGAAGCTTTCACAAGATGGTGGAAGGGGATCCAGTCTGCATGGATGTTGGGGATAGGGACTTTTAACCTCTGAGGAATTCCTGCCCGCCTCAGGTTTTCTGGGCCTGTGAAAGAAGTTCCTTTAAACTTCTGCTGGAGTGATTGAGTTTTGATTCTTTCTTGAGCACATGAAACTTAAACAAACCTTTAAGACCCCAGATTGGGAGGGGGTACGGTGCTGGGAAGTTCTTGCCTTTGAAACTATGCCCCGTTGTGGACCCGGGAAGAGAATACATTCCCTCAGGACCACACACACACACACACACACACACACACACACACCTGACTCAAGGTGGAACCACACACCCCTGACCCAAGGTTGGACCACACACATACACACACCTGCCCAGAGGTGGGACCACACGCACACACACACACACACACACACCTGCCCCAAGGTGGGACCACACACCCACACCCCTGACCCAAGGTGGAACCACACACAGACATACCTGCCCCAAGGTGGGATCACACACCCACACCCTTGACCCAAGGTGGAACCACACACACACACCTGCCCCAAGGCGGGACCACACACACACCCCTGACCCAAGGCAGAACCACACACACATACACACACACACACACCTGCCCCCAAGGTGGGACCACACACATACACACACCTGCCCCAAGGTGGGACCACATACACACACAGACACCTGCCCCCAAGACAAAACCACACACGAACACACACACACGAACCCCCCTCTGCCCCAGGGTGGGACCACACACACACACACACACCCCTGACCCAAGGTGGAACCACGCACACACGCACACACACGCCTGCCCCAAGGCAGGACCACACACACACACCCCCCTCTGCCCCAGGGTGGGACCACACACACACACACATACCTGCCCAAAGGTGGGACTACACACACACAGAGATACACACTTGCTCCAAGATGAGACCACACACACACACACCTGCCCAAAGGTGGGACTATACACACACAGAGATACACACTTGCTCCAAGATGAGACCACACACACACACACACACACACACCTGCCCAAAGGCGGGACTACACACACACAGAGATACACACTTGCTCCAAGATGAGACCACACACATACACACACACCTGCCCAAAGGTGGGACTATACACACACAGAGATACACACTTGCTCCAAGATGAGACCACACACACACACACACTTCTTCCCCAAGGCGGGACCACACACACACACACACATACACACACACAGACATGGGGTGGAAGGGGCAGGGACTCTTACTTTTCCAACGCCATTTTACTGGAGGCGGGTAGGGGCAAGACCTACTCCGTGAGGCAGAGATTCCAAGCATCCAAACAGTATCATAAGTTCAGACCTGATTTTTGAACATCTTTCACACACCCTCATTTTACCATGGTTTTCTAGGTGTGTGGCTCCTGCTGGGGAGGTTGGAGTTTCAGCAGTTTGAGCAGCGACACTAATAAAGATGCTGCCGGGAGCTTTTCAGACCTTAATGCTAAAATGGGCTTGTCCATAATTTTTTAGTTATCAGGCATATACCCTGCAAGAACCTCATGAAATAGAGGTTTCCAGCACTCCTTCGCACCAAGCCCAGAGCTGCCCTCAGAACGTTCCTTAACCCTGTGTTTTCATGGCAGGCATTCAGTTTGCACCACACCAGCTGAACTCTTGCTGCTGTCTGTGGTCTAGATGATTTCTTAAGATGCCTCCCACTCCAGAACTTGGTTCCTGGACTCTGTAGATGTATCTGGGGCTCAGTGTCCTCATTCAGCTTACCTTTAAGAGCACCTGAGGCCACCCTGCCATAAGGAACTGGAATGTGAGTTCTCACTATGGTACACATAGCAGTGTCCCTGGCATGCCAAATGACAGTGTGGTTCTCTCTAGACGGAGGCGGGCCTGTGGCTGGTCTGTAGTAAGGAAAATGTCAAGTGTGTCCATTTTTGTTGACAACCAAAACACACCTGAACTGCCCTAGGAAGCTTGGCCAGGGCCGCTAAGAACAGGCATTCCTGAGGCTGGGTCTGTTGAGGCCACAGGCCCCCAAAAGCCAGGTGAGCCCACCCAACCCAGGGAAGAGCTTGGTAACTCTAGGGAGTGAAATCACATTGGCCTTCTACGAGGAGCGCTGTGTTGCCAGTGCTCCCACTTTTGGGAGCTGGAACCAGTCACAGCCCACTCCTCTGTTAGGAGGAGGCAGCCCAGGCACATAGTGGCACTTGTGAAGCACTGGCATAACCTGACTCTGAAGCCGGGGCTCACCGGCACAGTGTAGGCACTGAGCATGTTGTTCTCTGGTGTGGAGAAGTCTGACCGCCCCACTGTGGTTGCTTTTCAGACAAGTGATGGAGCAGCACCAGCAGCAGCGTCAGGAATCTCTAGAAAGAAGAACCTCGGCCACAGGTGAGAGCCCTCCTCCTCCAGGGCCAACTCCCATGCAGGTGCCAGCAGCAGCCCCTCCACGTAGATGAGGCCAGGGGCACATGGGGCACTCTGTGAGTAGCTGAGGGGAGCTTACGTTTCCAAGTGTGACCACCACTTCAGATGGTGGAGGGGAGCAAGAGAGCAGAGGCTTGGGGGTCTGCTCAGCCGGGTCTGGCCCCTGCCCACCAACCTTCTTTGGAGTGGACATTCAGCGAGCACTTCCCATGTCTCAGGCACTGTGCTAAGGGCTGGGGACACAACCACAACCGCAGGTGCGGTTCCTGCCCTCAGGGAGCCCACTGCCCCGTCAGGGAGACACAGACCCACCCTTATGTCATGTGAGGTGCAGGTACTGAAGGCCCAGCCTGGATCAGGGAAGGCTTCCCATGGGAGGCCCTGCCACACGTCCGGCCTGGACATTCCATGGAGGTTACCACATTGAAGGAGGACAAGGGTTTTCCAGAAATTGTGTTCACGGATAGGCAAAGGGCTTGATAATTTACCAAGTGCTTTCATGTCCTTTGTCTTGTTTAATTTTCTCAAACACCCTATGAAGTGAGTGAGCAGATGATTATTATACTGTTTACTGATGAGAAACCTGAGCCCCTGCTGGTTACAGGAGCACCCTGCCCATAAGATACTGACTGATGCTGTTATCCCCACCTAGCTGTCACAGGCCTCCTGCCCCCGGCCACTCTGCATTTCTCATGCAGGTCTGACGCTGTTATCACGTCCCTTCCCCATCACTCTTGGAACGGCCGTGCCTACCCTCTCTCCCTCTAGTGCCTCACAAGTGTTTCCCACCCTTCTTCTCCTTCCTCACACTCGCTTCCCCACTTCACCTAACTGAACCCCTGCTCTCCAGTCATGTGCCAGCACCAGTCACTTATGTAAGGAAGTCTTCCATGAACCTCTAGCCAGGCTGGAGCCCCTCTGCATATGCCAACATGGCGCTGTGTGCCTGCCCTTGGTAGCATGTGTCAGCTTGCCACAGTCTGCCATCTGCATGCATCTGTGCGATGTGTTGCCTGTTCCTCACAGGCTGTGAGCACCATGAGCAGAGAGCATGAGGCCGTTCTCCTCAGCACCGCACTTAGCATTGCACCCTGACCCACACCCCCAGTCGGCCCTGGGACCCGCAGTACCTGCCATGGTCCCCAAAGGCCAAGTGTCTGTCACAGTTGGACCTTGGTGACCAGCTCCTGCCTAGTGGGCGCTAGGTACTTAGAAGTAGTAGAGAAGAGAAAAAGCACAAACTGTGTAGCCAGAGAGCTTCCTCTCCTCCTGGAAAAATGTGATTGCAGCAAGAGGAAATTGCCTGGATTCAAGAAAGGTTAAGCAAATACAGGACACTGTGAGTCCAGCCAGGCCCAAGTGCTAAGGACACCAGAACAGGGAATAATTGTGCCAGGGCCAAGTTCATCCTGCTGGGGCTTCCTGGGTGAAGCAGGCCCGGACCTGTTCCTCATCCCTCTGAGGAGCAGCCTGCCCTCTGTCCTTCCTCCGGGGAACCTGAGCTGAGAGCAGCAGGCTTAGCCCCCAGCTGGGTGCTGGAGCTGGCTGAGCCTCACTGTTGTGTTTCAGGGCCCATCCTCCCACCGGGGCATCCCTCATCTGCAGCCAGCGCCCCCATCTCATGTAGTGGGCCTCCACCGCCACCCCCACCCCCTGTCCCACCTCCACCCACGGGGGCTACCCCACCTCCCCCACCCCCGCTGCCAGCCGGAGGAGCCCAGGGGGCCAGCCATGACGACAGCTCCATGTCAGGACTGGCTGCTGCCATAGCTGGGGCCAAGCTGAGAAGAGTCCAACGGGTAAGAGTTCCCGTGCACCGGGCAGGAATGGGACGGGGGGACCCTGACGCCGTCTGCAGAGCACTTGTGTTCCTTCCCTCATCTTCGAGACACTGAGCAAACTGCTTCCCTGCCCAAAGCTAGCTGGCCCGTGGCCACTTGTTCTCACACAAGAACACTCATGGGACAGCACTTTGAAATTATAAGGTGCTTTAGTTAGCCATTGAGCCTCACGTTGACCTTCATATGTGGGGCAAGAATATGTCCCCTTTGTAGATGATAAATTGAAGCACCAAGAGCTTGAGTAATTTGCTCAAGTCACACCATTTATAAGTTTTAGATGTTGGATTCAAGCCTGGGTCTCCTGAATCTAAGTCCATTGCCCTTTCCACTATAGGAAGCTGTATCATGGAAACAGGGCTACCCAGCTGTTAACTTGCCTAACCCCTGCTCATATGTTCTGGAACTGTGCTTGTAAGAATAGCTCTGAAACAGACCTTTGGCTTACTTTTTGTTTCCTTCCCACCAAATAGTCTCTTCTCCCCTCCTTTTCCCCATGTGTCGTGTCTGGTCTTGGCAAAGACAGTGACCTGCAGGCCTGGGGAGTGTCTGCAACCTGTATGACCTGGGCTGGTCCTTGTCCCTCTCTCTATTTTGGTTTTCTCCCCATGGTGTTGGGGAATCATGGACTAGATGGCCCCTGAGGTGCCTTGCAACACTGCCATCGTAGGATTCACACGCGCATGGTTTCCTGCATCCCCTCACGTAGGTGCTGCCCCCTGTTCTGCCATCAGCAGCAGAGTCTAAAACATGGCCTCCTCTTCCCTCAGCCAGAAGATGCATCTGGAGGCTCCAGTCCCAGTGGGACCTCAAAGTCCGATGCCAACCGGGCAAGCAGCGGGGGTGGCGGAGGAGGCCTCATGGAGGAAATGAACAAACTGCTGGCCAAGAGGTAGGTGTCTGCACCTCCCGTGACTTGGTGTGCCTAGCAGGCAGCTCCTGGCCCCAGCCCCGCATGGAGAATTCTTGCTTGACCCCAGAATCCTTCATTCCCTGGGTTTAGCCAAGCAGGGGGAACTGTTACTTAAGTTTTCCCTTCCCAAGGGGTTAGTCTGAAGCAGCAAGCCCATGGGTGTCCTCTACACTCCAGAGCCTTCATTTTAGCTCAGCAAGTATTTTCTGAAGCATCTACCATGTACCAGCCCTGTCCTGAGCAGAGATACATTTGGAGATAATTTCAGAGATAAATGCGGGGGGAAAAGTCCCTGCTCTTAAGATCCTAACAGAAAGATGGGCCGCAGTGCTTGGGTTTGCAGAGGACACTCTAGGGAATGTGTGGTAAAGGTGTCCCGTCCTCCAGGGTTCATTATGGAGGACTCGGGAAAAGGAGTAATGAAGGGTAGGAGCCCAGAAGGCATTGCCCTGAGCAATGGAGCGAGCACAGTGCCATCCGTATCCTGGCCGGGCTCTAGGGCCTAGGACCTGGTCATGTGTGTCTGCTTGCTGCAGCAGGTGTCGCTGCAGCCTGCCATTGTTGCCCTCTGCTGTTCTCCAACTGAAACGCAGGCAGGTAGGGAGATACCCAGGTCTTTCTCAAAAGAGACGCAAAGCTTGGATTTTATTTTTAAATATGACTTGACATCAGGAATGTGCTCACTTTGGACTACCAATGTTGTGGCTCACTGAGGCACCAGAGGGCACAGGAGCAGGCCTCACCAGCCAGAATACAGAAAGCTGCACCAGGGGCCCTGCTCCCTTGGTAACCCCACCCCAACCCCTTCTGCCACTTTGTTGCCTTCTCCTGGCCCTCCCAGCTGCCTTCCAGTTGGCTGACAAGTGAGAACTCTGTGTACGCCCAGGGTTTTCACACTGCAGCCCTAGTTCCTCTCGTTACCTTCCCATGGCTCCATGAGGATGAAGCGAGATGACAGAGACCCACAGGTGCAGGCAGCTGGTGTGGCGCTTCATGGCAGGGGCACAGCCTGGGTTTCCTGCCAAGGGCTTCTTTGTATGCATCACAGAAGGCAGGGAAAGGAGGCTCCACATGTGTCAGGGAGCAGCAAGGTAGATCTGCAGCACGGGCTTCTCCCAAGCCTCCACTGGGCCTGGGCATATGTAAATCACTAAGACAGGAGGCAGGCTTCTGAGCAGTTTCCTGTGATAATAAGTCCAGGTGTGCAGGGCTGACAGTAGTCACACAAAGGCACATGGCTCCATGGATGAGAGAGTCAGGAGGGCTCGCAGAAGGATGAGGACTCCTGTGCAGTAAGAGGGACAGTGGGCGGAGTTAAGGTACCTGGGAAGGCTGATGCCCCCCTGTGTCTGAAGAGCTGGGTGTGGAGGAAATGGACCAAGAGTCAGACTGGGAGAGGGAGCCTCATGGTGCAGGGCATCGGGTTCCATCTCAGAGGCGAGGATGGGCTGCAGAGAATAGAAATCATTTTGGAAAAGAAAATATTAATGCTTTCCCCAAGTCCTAGACCAGGCTGAGGGAAAGCACCTTTCTGAGAACAGGAAAAGGCTGATATTGCCTGGAGCCAGTGAGATGCCAGATGCTGGTGGGAGAGTCCAGGCCCTCCCAAGAACAAACATGCTCTGCATAGCTCAGCAGAAATCAGTCAGATTGCCCTTTGAAATCCACTTTACTGATGGCTACTGGGAGAAGCTGATAATGAGAGTACCCTTGGCCTTGCAAAGTTTCTTTTAATGCAGGTTCTTGTCTCCTGTTCTGAGGGCATGCAGTTGAGTCTCTCTCCCAGCAGGGGAGGACAAGAGGGAAATGATATGGACGGAGAGCTCCCGTTCAGCAGCACTTTCTCCCACCTATACTCCAGTCGAGTGGGTGGCTTGGTCAACTTTCTGTTTCTAGGAGATGGGGTGCTGGCTGCTGGGGAGTAGATGGTGATGGTGGGTAGGCCAGTTACGAGACTCTGACAGTCCAGGAAGAGATGATGGGGCCTTGCAGGAAGGTGTTGAAAGTGAAGAGAGAAAAAAGACAGGTTCAGAGGTAGAACTGACCAGGCTGACTATTAAAAGAAGCTGGTGTCAGGGATGATTCCCTGGTTACTGGGCTGAGGAACAAGATGGGCGGCAGACCTGTGCTGAGATGAGAGCTAAAGAAGGGGCCCCTGCTACAGCTGAGGAGGCTGCCGGGTGGGCCCATCACAGACAGGTGAAAGCCTGGCCACAGCCCCTCACCACACCTCAGACCAGCTCCATGCTTGATGGGCAGCTCATCTCAAGTTTAAGAGCCACAGAAACCTATCTCTGGGGAACACTGAGGGTCTGCCTGTGTAGACGTGGGAGGTCAGCAGATACCACTGAGGCCAAAAAAAATACGGGTGAGGTTTTAGAATATATGAAACAGGAATTCATAGCAGGGGAGGTGTGTGAACCAACTCAAGGACATCATGTGAGCTATTCCAAGGCTCCTCTTAGCATTTCCAGGCCCTGAGTGGCATCCTAGATTCTAGATTGGAGAGGGCATGGCTGGGTTAACTGAATCCAAGACAGGAGGGCCTTAAGGTGACACAAGAAAGTGACCAGTGTCCCGACCTGTGGGACAGACTGCAGCCCAGAGAGGCGCCCGTCTGTCCCGTGTGGCTGGGCCTTCGGTGTCCTGGGAACAGAGCACAACTGCCTCCTCCACCCCTTGGATGCTATAGCTGCTGCCAGTACAGCCAAACAGACACAGGGTCACCTCACCCTCTCCGCCTCGACCAGTCTCATGTTGCAGGCCATGAGCACACAGAGGGCCTGGACACTCGCCCGGGCCTGGCTCCGACAAGCCTCCTGCTTCATGCCATCATTTTCCTGCACAGGTTTATCCGAAGACTGGGGTGAATCTGGCAGGGAGGAAGCAGAAGAGTTCTGGGACAGTGTGAGAACCTGAGAAGCTGATCTGTATATTCCCCTTCTCTGTGCCTAGGAGAAAAGCAGCCTCCCAGTCAGACAAGCCAGCTGAGAAGAAGGAAGATGAAAGCCAAATGGTGAGGAAGCAGCCCTCAGCCCTCAGGCTTCCCACTGAGATCAGTGCATCAGCAGGGAGGCTCCCTGGTCAGAGTCAAGGCCTTTGGGACGTGCATGGGATGGGTGGGATGGGCACTTCATCAGGTAATTCACAGGAGGGTCTCTGCAGCGCTTGCCCCTGCGCCACCCTGGCCCCAGCAGCAGGCCTGCCCTCACTGAGCACCCCCGACCAGACACTGCTCCACCCTTGGAGCTGCAGCCCAGCAGGGGAGAAGCCTGGGGCCCTTGTACCACACCACCGGGCTACCTTGCCTGCCCAGGAACCCCGGGAAGCACAGACCAGCCAGGGCCTCATCAGGAGACTGGGACTCCAAGAGTACACTGCAGTAGGGCATGTCTGCTAGAAGCTCAGAGAGGTTTTTATTTTCAGATTATTTCTGTTTCTAAAGACCCCTCTTCCAGCAGCAACTTCAGGTGAGCTGTGGTAAAGAAGCCCTGGACTCCTGGCTCTTGTCTTTAGCAAGCAGCCCAGAGTCAGCCTGGCTGCTAGAGCTCCCAGCATCTGCTTCCACTTAGGGCAGCTAATTCTCTTTCTCTCTGTTAAGCTTTTCCTATAAAAAGACTCCTACTGACAAGGCTAAGTTTAGCCTTAGCTACAAATGGCATAAAGTGCAGAATGAGAGAGGAAATGCAACTGCCATGGACCAGAGCAGGCTTCCTGCCCTGTCTTCCCATTAGTCAGGGCCATGCTGGTGTGACCTCAGGGCTCTATCCTTCCTGGTTGATCCACGCCTCTCAGCCCCGTCCTGCCCTCCTGCACTCAGGGCCTGGGCACATACGGGTCCCTTTGCGTTACCCGCCAGCTCCCACTCAGCCTGCACTTCTCTGCATAAGCCTTACTCCTTAAAAAACAGCCTCCCCCCAACCCCCCCCCCAAAAAAAAGTGAAAAAAAGACCAGGCACAGTGACTCACACCTGTAATCCTAGCACTTTGGGAGGTTGAGGGAGGTGGATTACCTGAGGTCAGGAGTTCAAGACCAGTCTGACCAACATGGTGAAACCCCGTCTCAAAAAAAAAAAAAAAAAAAAAACAGTCTCCTAGCCTGGCACAGTGGCTCATACCTGTAATCCCAGCACTTTGGGAGGCCAAGGAGGGTGGATCACGAGGTCGAGAGATTGAGACCATCTGGCAAACATGGTGAAACCCCATCTCTACTAAAAATACAAATATTAGCTGGATGTGGTGGTGTTTGCCTGTAGTACCAGCTACTCAGGAGGCTGAGGCAGGAGAATCACTTGAAGCTGGAAGGCGGAGATTGCAGTGAGCCAAGATTGCGCCACTGCACTCCAGCCTGGTGACAGAGCAAGACTCTGTTCAAAAAAAAAAAGGAAAAAAAAAATCTAATATTTTACCGACTCTAATGTCAACCTATATAGCTTTCATCCTGGCCTCCACATGTGTTTGTTGACTGACATAATCTGTTCTTCAGGTATCTTTAAAATGAGGAGGCCTGAGGACCTCATCTCAACACCTACAGCCTGGTACCTGGTTTTGCCCTCGACCAGAGCCTCCCAGGACTTATTCACCCGACAGATAACACAGGGCATTCCTGATAGGTGCCACGCCTCTTCTTGTGTGGGGACGTAGTGAGCAGAGGAGACAAAGCAAAGACCTCTGCCCACGGTGACAAGGGCAGAAGTTCTTTGCTTGGGATCAGAGTTACACATCAGGTTGGGTGGCTGCCTGTCAGCAGCTCAAATGCTGTGCATTCTGCTTCATCAAGTGAGAGGATTACTCTTATTACTTAACAAGTGGCATGTTCTTGGTGCTGAAAATCATCCTGATGCACATGCCATGCACAGCGAGTGTTGGGTGTTCCCACTGTTGGACACACATCCACCCGTCGAGCATTGCCACAGACCTGTCACAGGGGCAGCTGTGTGTGTGCTACATGGGGGAATAGGTCCCTCCTCGGCATGCTTGCAAGAAGTCAGCGAGATGACACACAGGAGGCATCTGGCCCATGGGGCTCAGGGCTTGGGGTGTTGAGGGCCAGAAAGGAGTCTGCACTCCTCTGCAAAGGTCCTGGAGCTTCCTGCAGCCTTCCCCTTCCCCTTTGTCCACAGGCTGGATTCACTCCCCACTGAGATTTGGGGTTTTCAGTTTTAAATATTTAATGTTTTGCTAATTATAAAAGTTGTATGTGTTCACTGGGAACATTTGGAAAACTGAGGTTTTATAGAGTGCCCAGTGGTGTCCTGCCCCAGCCCCAAGCAGTGTTCCTAAACAGACTTCCTTCTTCTCCATCTTAGGAAGATCCTAGTACCTCCCCCTCTCCGGGGACCCGAGCAGCCAGCCAGCCACCTAACTCCTCAGGTGAGATGGCGCCCCCACTGACCTCATGTATGAAGCAAACAGGGCAAGGGGGCATGTGAGGCATGAGGTCTCAGAGTGGGGGGAGCACCCTTCAAAGAGGACTCTCTGATCCAGCCTCCTCAGTTTGCCTGAGCAGAGAGCCAGGCCACACAGAGGGAAGCCCAGTTCTTATGAGTCCCCCAGAGCATCCCCCAGGAATCCATGCAGGAGCATAGGAAGTGCTAGAACAGAGTCACCGTCATGGGTCCCCAGAGTGGCCTACGCGGCACCTCATTTCCCACCAGGACCCTGAGTTCCGCATGAGGGAAGGCACTTGCCTGATGGCACATATTCAGGGTGGGGGTTTGTGTCCAGGGCTCCTGAGTGCAGGCCGGGGCCAGTGGTCTTAAGAGGGTCAGCGTCAGGACTCATGTCTCCCATGAAACGCCAGCTGGTGACTAGCGTTACAGATATGGCAGTGGATCTTGCTTCACCGAAATGCAGCTCCTTCCCTGGCTCAGGTTTCCCGTCAGAGCTGTGGCAGGTGGGAAGGAGGAAGGAGAGAATGATGAGGTGACAAGGGCAGAGGTTCTCTACATAAGCCTTAAGAGGAAGTGGGAGGAAGACCCCAGGGTTGGTTGTTCATTCAACAGACATTGGCGCAGCACCTGCTCTGTGCCAGGCCTGTGCTCATGAGCATGGCAAGGAGAGGCAGGGGCGTCAGGCTGCCCAAGCTGGGCATGGGAGGCGCTTGCCAGCTGTTCATGTGTCTCTCTGGGGCATGCTCAGGTTGAGTGTCACCTCACTGTGAGACTGTACACCGTGTCCTCTCCTCCTAGGACTTTTGCCTGGCAGGTCGATTTGCCATGATGCATAGGTTCTTGGCTGATGAACGTGAACAATGCCCCTGCCCTGTTTGCTTCTTACAGCAGCCCAGTGAGTGGGCTATGTGTTTGCATCTGTATGATAAGTGGTTTGCTCCAGGCCACACACCTGGGACGGGTCTGTGGCCCCAGGTCTAGTGCCTGCAGTCCCAGCACCTGTCCCAGAAGGTGACTTTGAGGAAAACTACCTCAGTCCCACAGTTGGTCTGCAGGGTACCACAGCCAGGCAGCTTCCCCACTACCACTAGAGATTTTGTCTTCTGTCTCTGCTCATCCTGCAAAGTCAGCAAATTCAACTTAATGCAACAAATCTTTTGGAGTAGGCCAAAATATAATCCAATACCACTTACCTTGAAAAAGAAAAGACAAGCCAGCTGAATGGGACAGAGCCAGGCACAGCATGGGGGCCAGCTAAGGAGCCCGTCAGCAGCAGGTGCTGGGCCTCGGGTCCTGGCTGCACAGCTCATGGGAGCAAGGCTGCATTGGGAGTGTCTGGGGAGGTCCTGCCTGCTTCCCCTTCAGCCCCGTTCGCTGGGTTGCTTACCAGCAGGCCCACGTTCCAGAGAAACCTGACCACAGTGAAAGGACTCAGAACGAGGTCACAGGTCAGGGTCAACCAGGTCAAGGGAACAGGAGCTTGAGTCCTGGAGTAGGGGAGACACAGGGTGACGACAGTGGTGCCATCTAAAGCCCTCAGGGGGCTGGCCTAGGCCATGGGGGACTGAGAACAAGAAGCCAGGTTTTGGCTCTGCTCAAATTAGACCTTCTTGCCATGGGGCTCTGCACCCTCAGCATTGGGGAGAGCTTCCTTTTGGATGTTGAGGGGATTAGGGTGGCTCCTGAGTCCTCTCAGGTCTAAAGTTCTTCATCCATGAACCGAATTGACAGAGACTGGCCGGAAGCCCTGGGAGCGGAGCAACTCGGTGGAGAAGCCTGTATCCTCGATTCTGTCCAGGTGAGTGGCCCAGAAGGCCTGAGCAGCAAGGCTGGGGTGGGCAGAGGCGGGTGCTGGCGCCGATTCACATGTCTGTTTCATTCCATGCTGTAGAACCCCGTCTGTGGCAAAGAGCCCCGAAGCTAAGAGCCCCCTTCAGTTGCAGCCTCACTCTAGGTACTGAACAACCCTCCTGCTCACGTGTTCTCCAGGGTTGGGGCTCCTCTGTCCCCTGTCCTGTGACTAACACCTTGCACCCTGTCTCATGTCTTGGCATTTAACAGCTTGCTCTGGGAAGGTGATCTGTTCTTTCAGACCCAGGACCTCAGGGTCCTGTCAGTCAGCTCCTCCTCCTCCCTCTGAGGGAGAGACCGAGGCCCGGGGAGGGCAGTGACCTGTCCACAGATCCAGTGCAGGGGGCTGACTTGGAGTCTCAGCTCTGGACTCACTACATGTGACAGTGAGCAAGTTAGGGGAACTCTCCAGGCCTCTTTTTCCCCCTCCCCCCACAAAACAGGTCGGTGAATCCCTGCTGCACAGGGCAGTAGTGGGGACAGCTGTGCAAACAACAGCTGGACATGGTCACTAGGCGTGGCTGCAGCCAGCAGCTCAGCTAGTCCTAGGACTGGCCCTGAGCCCCACACCCTCTCCTCCAGCCCACAGTCCTTCCTCTGCGTCCAGCACAGAGCCAGTTTCCCCCAGACATGCTGACCATATTTCCCAAACCAAAAGCTGGCATGACAGCACGATAGAATATTTGGAACTGAGGTTGCCCAAAAAGGTGCAGGCAGCCACATCGTATCTGGAGGCCCACGTGGCCTGAATGTGAAGCCCTCTAGAACCTGCATCAAGAAATGTCTCCATTGCCACCAGAAGTTGAAGGGAACCCACCCTTGTCACAGAGGAGGAGGCACTGAAACTGGCCTTGCGGAGCGAAACGGGTGACAAGCCGAGCAAGCCCTGGCCTGTCCCTGGCAGAAATGGCCAAGACCAGGGCAGGGGGACAGAGATGAGGAAGTCTTAGCAGTCAGCTGGGGTTTGTCAAAGGCTTGTGGCCAGCCAGGCCGTGTGCTGGGGACAGTCCCTGCCTGCCAAGATCACATGAGAACAAGGCCCCTGTGGTCCTGAGGGGTGCTCCAGCAAGGGTGTGGGGCCACGTGGTGGAAGGGACAGGGTGCTTTGGGGAGTGGGGCAGGGCAGGCCTCCGTTGGGAGCTGGCATTTCATTGACCTGGACGAGGAGGAGCCTGCTGTTCGGAGAGCATGGGGACAGCCTTCCAAGCTGAAGGAAGGGTAAGTGCCAGGGCCCTGAGCCTGCAGCCACCTGCCAAGTTCTCCCACACCTCGCACCTCGGAGCAGACAGCAGGCCATGGGGCATGGGAACGGGAAGGGTGAGGAAGAGGGTGTGAGGGAGCACGGAATTAAAAGTTTGCATTGGATTCATGTGCAGGACTCCAGCCAGGGAGCTTGAGGCACAGGATGCCATGATGGGAGCTGGGAAGGGGAAGGCAACCAGAGTGGGCAAAGCGAGGGTCCTGGAGCAGACATGGCAGCCGGAGGATCCTGTAGTGCTCCCGGCCGTGGTCTGCTGATGGAGTGAAGGCGGGCTGCAGTGTTCTCTGAGGGGCCAAGGGTCGCTCAATGGGCAGGAACGTTGTCAAGGCCATTCATGCTTGGAATAGAGTCTCTCTTCAGCTCTGAGACAAATCTGTTGTCTAATTTCTAGATGGCTCCAAAGGGAGCATGTACCTCCACCCCTCTAGGGCATCCCATTGCTTAGGAAGCCTGCTGTGTGTATCACTGGGTGGCTGTCGGGTGCAGATGGAGAGGGCCCAGTCCTGGCGAGGTGGAGCAGTCAGCCCAGGTTTCTCAGCAGTTTTATCTGGAACCCACAGGAGAGGCCTGAAGGGCCCAGGGGCCTCTGGCTGGATGTGTTTGCCTATCAGGACCCAGAATTACTGACAGACCTGTTTAGGGCTAGGCTTGGCCTCTTTCTTGAGCTCACATGGAGGGGTGTGAGAACACTTCATTCTTCATTCTTATTCTCCCTAGTTGTGGGCAACACTGGTCCTCAGTGTCACCAGATGGTCCTCATCTGTGCCCATGACCCCTCAGCAGCCAAGGTTGACCCTGCCAGATAAATGTGTATGTGCCCATGGTCACACCCACGGGCTGAGGCCACATACACTTTACTGAAACCACAGGCTCCAGCCTCCATCCTGTCCGTGTGGGAGGGAACTTGGGTCCCAGCAATGTGTCCTTCAGCACCAAGTCATGTTTAAAAGACCAGGTAGATGGGCATTTTGCCAAGATTTTTCAGGGAAAATGCATGTATGACACTTTTTTTTTTTTTTTTTTTGAGACAGAGTCTTGCTCTGTTGCCCAAGCTGGAGTGCAATGGCATGATGTCGGCTCACTGCATCCTCTACCTCCCGAGTTGAAGCCATTCTCCTGCCTCAGCCTCCCAAATAGCTGGGACTACAGGCATGTGCCACCATGCCCAACTAATTTTTTATATTTTTAGGAGAGATGAAGTTTCGCCATGTTGGTCAGGATAGTCTCAGTCTGCTGACCTCATGATCCACCTACCTCAGCCTCTCAAAGTGCTGGGATGACAGGCGTGAGCCACCATGTCCAGCCAAGAGACATTACCATTCAAATCAGGCCAGCACGGCGCTCATGACTGTCATGCCAGCACTTTGGGAGGCTGAGATGGGAGGATCACTTGAGCCCAGGACTTCGAGACCAGCCTGGGCAACACAGTGAGACACCATCTCTACAAAAAGTTAAAAAAAAAATAGGGACTGGTCTCAGTGGCTCACGCCTGTAATCCCAGCACTTTGGGAGGCCAAGGCGGGCAGATCACGAGGTCAGAAGATCAAGACCATCCTGACCAACATGGTGAAACCCTGTCTTTACTAAATTAGCTGGGCATGGTGGCACATGCCTGTAGTCCCAGCTACTCGGGAGACTGAAGTGGGAGGATCACTTGAGCCTGTGTGGTTGAGGCGGCAGTGAGGGGTGATATGCCACTACACTCCAGCCTGGGTGACAGAGTGAGACCTTGTCCCAAATAAATAAAAATAAAATTCAAGTTAGTTACCTTAGTTCAGAAACTTTCAAAGAGGTAGTCCATGAGAACTACTTCGAAACAGCAAAACCAGCTGGGTGAGGTGTCTCACGACTGTAATCCCAGCACTTTGGGAGGCCAAGGCAGGTGGATCACCTGAGGTTGGAAGTTTGAGACCAGCCTGACCCAACATGGAGAAACCCCATCTCTACTAAAAATACAGTTAGCTGGGTATGGTGGCACATGCCTGTAGTCCCAGCTACTTGGGAGGCTGAGGCAGGAAAATCACTTGAACCCCAGAGGAGGAGGTTGCAGTGAGCTGAGATTGCACCATGGCACTCCAGCCTGGGCAAGAAGAGTGAAACTCTCTCAAAAACAAAACAAAAAGCGAAACCACGTGGGAGGGTGTTTCCTGGGGGAGGCGTGCTGTGCCCAGCACCGGGGACACTGGTGTGTGTCAGGAGCACACCTCCAAGCTGCTGTGAGCTCCACAGCATCACATTGTACTTCCTGCCACCGCTGCTGCATCCCTGAGCCCCAGCTCAACCTGCAGCATGAGCTCCCACCCTGAGGAGGAGGCTATTGATACTGTTTTCTTTCCAAGGAGGCAACGGGTGGGTTCGGTGTCGTTGCTTAGGTTGCTCCCTCTGCATGAGAGCTCTGATGAGAAAGCAGTTCCTTTGTTACCTCAGCCTTGGCTCCCAGGTCGGGAAGTATGGTCACAATATCCCTGGAGAGCCTCTCGGGGTAGAGACTTCGCATGAAGTCCTTCTCAAGTAGTGTGAGGTGGCCAGAGTCCGAAGCAAGCAGCCTCTGTGGAGTGAGGGGCACAGGTGGGCCTGGCTTGAGCAGGCCCTCTGCACAGCCAGCTTGCCCCACGCCCGCCTCCAGCCGGGCACCCGCAGCCCTGCTCCCACTTACCGCACCCACGCTTCCTCTCCCAGGATGAAGCCTGCTGGGAGCGTGAATGACGTGGCCCTGGATGCCTTCGACTTGGACCGGATGAAGCAGGTGAGTGTGCCCTGTGCCCTTAGACGCTGAGGGCAGCCAGTAGGCTGGGGACTGTCTCTGACCAGCATGGCCAGGCAGGCCCTGGGGGCCCACATGTGGCTGCCAAAAAGCCAATCGGAGCAGCCATGGCGGAAAGGGGGTGACCAAGCTTGTCTCTTGTCCCCAGCCCCTGCTGTCACCAGAACTAAGATGTCCCTCGACCTTTCTGGGCACCTCCCTTAGGCCTGCCTCGGGGGTTTCTTCCCTAGGGCAGCCCTTAGTTTCAGCCGCTTCTGCCTGAGGGAGGCAGCTGCAGGATGTTTCCAGGCCTCCCACACTGTCCCCCCTCAGTGTGGGAAGGGGGCCGCAAGGAGGCAAGGGTGACAGATATGACTCTGGAGAGGCCCAGGAGACCCTGACGCCTTTGGACATGGCCCAGCCCAGGCTGGCTTTTCTGTCTCCACTGCCTGTCCCTTCACCTGGACTCTCCTCTCCAACAGGAGATCCTAGAGGAGGTGGTCAGAGAGCTCCACAAGGTGAAGGAAGAGATCATCGATGGTGAGTGGAACCCCCGCTGGGGATGGCAGCACCCAGGGGGCTGCAGGACAGGGGTCCCTGTCACCCAGGGTGGGGGCCTGCAGTTTTGAGCAGAGCCCACCCTGTAAGAGATTTATTTCTAAGAATGGGCAGCTCCCGGTGGCATGACATCCAAATCTGAGACCCTCCACATCCCTGTGCACCTTCCCCAAGGACCCATGTGGGAGGTGCATGGAGGGCAGACCCCCAGGTCATTAGAGCCAGGTCTGGAGGAAGCCACCTGAGTGTCTGTCATTTCACCCCCGGTGGTTTATGTTGCCATCTTGATTCTGCCACCTCCAGTCACTGGTGTTGGTTCTGAAAGAACAACTTTGCCTTCCTGGGGGTGCAGGGAGACCAAGGGCCACAGCAGCCTCTTCCAGGCCTGAGCCACAGCCTGCCTGGCCCTGGGCTGGGGAGCAGGTGGGGAGCAGCCTCTGGCTCCAGAGCAGGGCGGTTTTCAGTGCATCACATCCGTCCTTCCGGTTCCCACCAGAGCCTTTGAGGACGCTGGCTCAGATCTGCAGCCAGAGGAAAAGGGGGTGGGTCTGGGCAGGGCAGGCTCAGCCCTGGGTCAGAGCTGTGCAGTGCAGCCAGTGCCAGCTCCCACCTGCCTCCCCCACTAGGGCAATGAAGCCTCACACCTGGTGTGCAGCTGGGTCTGACCCCCAGGACATTGCAGTGACCTGGGCAAAAGGGTCCCACAAGCACACAGGGGTGGAGGCTGATGGCAGAGGGAAGAGACAGTGGGAGTCCGAAGACCCAGGCCTCCTCCCCTAGCCGGCCCACCCTTGTTTAAGCAGAGAGCACTCAGTTCCTGTTTGTCTAGTTCACCCAAAGGCCTGAGCTGAGGAGATAAGGAGTTAACAAATGAGGGACTGTGAGGCAGTCTACCCAACTAACTGGTAACACCGCCTTACTGCTGGGCACCCTCCAGCCCCAGGCACAGCTGGTCAGAAACCACGGGCCCTCCACAGCCCCTGCCTGCCACAGTTGCAGCCCCAGGAAACCACCCTGGCTGAGAGCCCGGGAAGGGGTAGGCATGGGCCATGCCAGGGGCTCTGAGAAGCAGCTCCCTGTGGCTGGGGGATGCCCGCCCCCGCCACCCCCCACGTTGCCCTGGCTGTTGGCTCTTGGCCCAACAGGGTCCATCCAGGGAGAGGCCTGAGCTGGCATAGAGGAGGGGGAGTCAGGGAGGGAACAGATAGCAGAGGAAGGAGGGAAAGGCCCAAATTTGGGAGGCGGGGAGTTGGAACTCTAGCTTGGGATGGGGAGAAAGCCAGGAGGAGACAAGAGGCCCCTGCCTCTCCTGGGGAGTGAGCAGAGCCAGAGCCGTCCCTGGGGTCCAGGGCCAGGACTTCCTGCTGCCCCTGCAGGAGCAGGGAGGGCAGAACCTCAGCCTCCACTCTGTTGGGGGAAGGGCTCCCAGGCCCCTGGCACCTCGATAGCCACCTGTCCAGAGCCTACAAAGGCCCCGCGTCCCCACACAGTGGCTCCTCACACCAGGGTCCCAGTACCCACCATGCCTCAGCAGCAGTGAGCCACAGGCAGGGCACCAGCCTCTGTCCTGAGCCAGGTCCTCCCCTAACAGGGCAGTGGCAGCAGGGGCCGCTGCAGGAGGAATGGCAGATGAGCCCCCAAAGCCTTTTGTCATCATCCCAGAGGTCTGCACCAAAGCCTGGGTAGGGCTCCCAGGGGATGGGGCAGGGGCAGATGCCAGGCAGGTCCATGCCAGGGTGCAGGTCCCTAATGAGGAGCTGGACTGCACTCGCCATGGCTGCACCTGAGCTGCCACCACCTGTCCCACAGCCATCAGGCAGGAGCTGAGTGGGATCAGCACCACGTAAGGGGCCAGCCGCACTGCGCTGAGATGTCAAGCCCATCTGGCGACAGAGGACAGCCAGGAGCCCAGCCAGCCCCAGACTCCAGCGCACCAACCAGAGCACACACGGGAGCCTGGGTGCACTGCCGAGGAACCTCCCAACCTGTGATCACACGCTACAGTGAGGAAACCAAGTGCAACTCCTGGATTTTTTTAGATTCTACCTGACACAGAACACCAGGTCTACTTGTCTTTTTTGTATTTTATATTTGCTTATTTAAGTGTACATTTCTTTTGGTTTATAGAGACACCCCTAAATCACCTGCTTCATTAGATGGTTTCCAGGTTTTCTCCCAGGTGACGCTGTTAGCGCCTCAGCTGGCAGTGACAGCCGGCCCGGTGTGGCGCCACCGTGCACTGCAGAGCTGCCCAGTGCAGCTCCGTCCCCAGCGATCATGGTGTTGAAATTGTCTGTCATGCACCACGGTGTCTGTGTTCACACAGTAATAAAGGTTTACTGTCCACACCCTGGCGCTCAGGATCTCACGTGGTCCTTCACACTCAGGGAAGAGCCTGGGACCACAGTGACCAGGAGTCATAGGAGCAAGATGGTGGTCTTGCACAGAAAACTGGGCCCAGAACATTCCCAAGCCCAGGAAGGGTGGGCTGGTGTCCTGGGGCTGGGCCTCAAGTCCTGCCTTTGGGAACCCCCTACAGGACCCCGAGGAAGATGGCCCTTAAGTGCAGCCCACACCCCCCAGCCCCACAGGACTCCATGCGCATTCTGACGACGGGCCCCACGAGCATCCTGTCCAGGGGAGGGATGGCCGTGGGGCTCAGTAGACACCGGGCAGATGCAAGCCAGCTTTGCCTGCTCCTCGATTCCACAGTCTCCTGGGAGGACAACCTGACAATGGCCCGTCCCAGGCCCCTGCCCTGAGGCAGCAGCCAGAGACAGAGGCTCTGACCCTTGGCTTCTAGGACCCAGGGTCACCAACAGGCTGGCCTTGAGATCGTGTGACCGTTCATGCCCCAATTCTCCCACATGATCCCCCCCACAGCCGCAGAGCAGTGTGCCCAGCAGCCCCCAAGGGCCACGGCAGGGGAGGGAGCCAGCACTGGCATACTGGGACCCAGTGGCTGATCTCAAGGGCCAGCTGCTGCTCCTGACACACTGCACCTCCTAGCGACAGGAACATGACTGTTCTGCCCCTTAGGAGGCAAGGCACCAAGGTCTGGTGGCACTTTTAACCCAGGACCTGCAGACCACAGCTCAGAGCTGCTCGCTCCTGCTTCCCCTCAAGGCCAGGAGTCCTGTAGCCTCCCCGAGAGTTCCAAGGACTATCATCTTCAGAACTGCCCTCCAAACCTGGGCCTGGCCTCCTGCTTGTGGACAAGGCCTGGACATGCCCCTTTGTGTTGTCTGAAGAAAAGTGCTGGACAAGGTGCCCAGCTCAGAATCTTCATGCAGGGCCAGTGGTGCTTCCTTCACAGAACAAATTCTGGGGTCAGGTTGCTTCCCTGTGCCACTCAGCAGGCTGCCCAGGGACACGGGAGCCTGGCACCATGCAAGGCCACTCCCAGGTATGGGGGGAGGCCTGCATCTCCCAGGTCAGGAGGGACAGCCCCTGGGACCCTACTCATAGCAAGGCCTTCAAGGCCTGACTGCAGCCTTGGTCTCCCTTCCTAAGTCCTGGAGGCTGAGGCTGCCTTCCCCAGGGCTGTGGTGGAAGCAGCAGGGCTGTGCCCCTCCATCTCCCTCTGGCAGGGAGGGCCTCACCCAGGCACCCCTCCTGCCTACCTACCTCTAGGGCATCAGGACCCACCCCAGCCCAGCCCTCCAGGAGAAGACAACCTCTTACATCCCATCCTCAGCCCTTCTGTAGAAAGGACCCACACATGGCCCACTTCACACAGACTTCCAGGACACCGCCTGGCCCTCATCCTTCTGAGCTGTGGCTCATTAGGACATTTCACCTGCCCGGCCAGCCCCTGGGCTTGGGCGCTGGATCTTGACAGAGCTCCTCCAGCCCCTCCTCTAAGCTGGTATGGGAGACAGACCCTCTATGGGCTCAGGGAGAGCAGGAAGTGAACAGGCCCGAGGAGTGGGGACACTCGGCAGGCAGTTTGGGCTCCAGGCTGGGGAGCCAGCCTCTGCAGGGCTCAGCCAGGCAAGGGAGTGGGGTCCTTTGCTGCCAGGAGGGGATTCGGAGCCACACAGAGGACCAAAGTGGGCTTTCTACTGTCCACACCTCAATGTGTGTTCACACGGTAGTGGCAGGCCCTCGGGAACACTGCCCAGCAGCAGGCACCATCCTGCAAAGAGCCAGGAGCACACACAGGAACTGGGCCTGGCCTGGCCTGGCCTGGCCTGGCCTGGCCTGGCCTGGCCTGGCCTGGAGGAAGCGGCACTCAGGCCTCAAGCTCCACCCACCGGGGCAGCCCAGTGCCCCATTCTCTGGGGCCAGGCTCCAGCCCAGAGCACCCCCTCAGAAGCACAATCCATGGGCTGTGAAACAAACGCCTGGTTTAATGGACGGCACAGACACCCCAGAGAGGTCAGCTCTGTGGGGACTGTGGGCTCAAAGCACCCAGGTCACCATGGGGCAGGGCCAGGCCTCGCCTGGTGAGGGACAGAAAGGGAGGGCCACTGCCAAGGTCCAGGGTGAGTCCACGAGCAGATGGAGCTCTGCAGCCCACATTGCTGTGGCCAGGTGTGCTGTGCAGGACGCTCCGAGGGGACAAGGGCAGCAGCCCAGGGCACAGGAAGGAAATGCATCCCCTCAGAGCTGGGGTGAGAGGCCGGAGGGGCAGGTGGGGGGTGATGGCCACCAGCAGGAGGCATCCTCACAGGCCATCCTTTGCAAGCCTGTACACCCGCTTCACCCTGGCATAGGGCCCCAGGGAGTCCTGAAACACAAAATCCCAGAGCACCCTCACCCAGGAGTAGTGCTGCGGCAGGTGGTCGTAGTACTCGGGCGCGATCTTCCGCACCTGTGAAGAGGAGGTGGGGCTCAGAGGCTGGTGTTCCTTGGGGCCACACATGCACACACACTCATGCACAGACATGTTTGCTCACATACACACAGGTGTACATGCATGCACACACATCACAGCCTCTGGCTGCCCATGTCCAGCTCAGCAAAACACGAGGCCACCCCCTCTAGTCCTCCCTGCCACCATCATCCCCCACCTCCCTGGGTACCCAGAAGGCTGGTGCTCCCTGCTGGAGTGCCTGGTGGCCTGAGCTGAGCTCAGGACACTATGGCAGAGGCCCCCACAGGCTCAGCTCAGAGTGCCCTGCCCCAAGAACTCAGTGCACCACTCCACTTGACCCCACCCCATTTTCTGATTCACAGACCCCACTGTTGGGGTAGCAGCTGAGGCATAGCCTGCCTGAGTCCTGCCAGGCTACAGGGTCACACCCATGCTCTTCAGCCCAGTGACCCGCCAGCCTCAGTGCCTGTCACTTTCCAAAGGCCTCTTGAGCACCTGCTAACCCCTCCAGCCTTTGCTCTGCACCAACACCCCCACCCGCCTCCTTCAGGAAGTGCTCCCAGCTTCAGTGCCTGCAACTGCACCACCACCATGCCACCCCACTGCTCAGCAACTCCCATCACAGGATGCCCCTCCTGCCCCTTCTGCGCCCGCCACCTCCTAAGGATGCTTGCAGGATGCAGGGGATCCAGCCGCAAAAACTGGACAGCGGGGCCGTGGGAGGCAAAGCCAGCACCAGGCACCCAGAGCCTCGCACTTTGCTCGAGAGAGGTAAAGGCTGGTGATTAATGGCAGCACTCTCGCTCTGCCACCTCCCAAGGCAGGCACCTCTCCCCTGCACCCTGTCACCTCCCAAGGCGGGCACCTCTCCCCTGCACCCTGTCACCTCCCAAGGTGGGCACCTCTCCCCTGCACCCCGTCACCTCCCAAGGCGGGCACCTCTCCCCTGCACCCCGTCACCTCCCAAGGCGGGCACCTCTCCCGCACCCCGTCACCTCCCGAGGCGGGCACCTCTCCCCTGCACCCCATCACCTCCCGAGGCGGGCACCTCTCCCCTGCACCCCGTCACCTCCCGAGGCGGGCACCTCTCCCCTGCACCCCGTCACCTCCCGAGGCGGGCACCTCTCCCCTGTACCCCATCATCTCCTGAGGCGGGCACTGTTCCCCCTGCACCTCTGCCTTTTTATCTATACAATAGGGATAATGGATGGGGAGGCAGCTGCCTCCTGGGCTGTAGTGAGGTTCAAGCGAGATGGTCCCCAGTGCAGAGCACCGCCTTGGTACTGCCAGCCAGAAAAAGCACAGGCCACAGCCCAGGCTTGGAACGAGTCTGAAGGATTCGAGTCACACGGGCTAGGGCGCACACACAACGCCTACAGGGACGTGTGCACAAACACCTGCACAACTAGGCAAGTGCTCACACATATCCACATGCACGCTCAGGCACACATGCAAATACCTGCATACATGCAAATACTAGGCACCCACACATAATCACAGGGTAAACACGCTCACACAGACCTGCACACACAGGTGCTCTCAGGCACCTGAACACCCCAGTGCCACCTTCTCCCGCCCCCTTTGCTGTAGGTCACTCCAGCTCTTTCCAGGCAGCCAGAGGCCACTAAGGCACAGACTGGCAATGGCTGAGGGATGGCTCCTCCTCCCCTTCCCCTTCGTCCTTTCTTGTTCAGAAATTCTCCAGCTCCCAGTCTACCAAGGCAGAGGTGCCCAACCCTGGGGCTTCCGCTCTGAATCAGCTCTGTCCAAGCCCCTTCGGTTGCAAAGGGCAAGGCCCGCCCTGTCCTCTCTGGACCCTGGAGGGTCACAGGGCAATGACAAGGAATGAGCAGGGACAGAGTCTGCAGACGGTGCTTCCACGCAGTGTCACTAATGCCACCCTGCTTCAAGGAAGAAGCAGCTGGGGCACAGAGAGGGTAAGCAGCTTGCCAGAGGACACACAGCCCTCTGGCAGACTTCATGGCAAGCTTCAAGCAGCCGCCACTGTGAAATGCCTCTCAGACCCTGCCTCCCTGAATTTGCTTCAGCCTCCAGCAGAGGACTCGCCTGTGTTGCGTGGCCTTTTCTCCTGCCCTGGGGACAAGTGTGAGCAGCCATGCCATGAACAGCACCAAAAGGGAGAGGTCGCTGGGCATGGCTCAAGGCCCTCCTGGGCCCCTACCTCCTCAGATGGCCATGCAGCCCTGCTCTGCCCTGCCACCCCAGCCACATACCAGGGGCAGGTTGCAGCCTGGGATGCTGGGGAAGTCATGGTGCTCCATGTGGTAGCCCACATTGAAGGTGATCCAGTTGAGGGGCCCGTAGTAGGAGTAGGTCTCGTGGCCCTTGAGGAACATGTAGTGCTCGGCCACGAAGTGGCCTGAGATGGGGTGCAGGCCCAGGCCCAGGAAGGAGCTGGCCAGCAGGTAGACCACGGGCTTGAGCCCCCACAGGGCAAAGATGGCGATGTCGGCCGCCAGCTGCACCAGTGCATTAAGCACCTCCATGCGGGTCACAGCCTTGGGGTGGACACAGAGTGGCCGCAGCGAGTAGAAGAAGGGCTGTAGCACCAGCCAGAGCAGCTTGCGGGCGGGCGTGCAAAAGAACCAGCCCTCCAGGCGCGTGGGCACGTCCACATCCAGTCCGTCGCCACCCAGGTAGCGATGATGGTCCACGTGGTACTTCTTGAATGAGGCGGCGTAGGGCACGCCCACAGGCAGGTTAGCAAACACGGCCAGCCAGCGGTTGCGCGCGGCACAACCGGTGCCAAAGGCTGCATTGTGTGAGATGTCGTGGATGGCCAGCGTCAGCGAGTGGTTCACGCAGCCGCCGAGGGTGTAGGCCCAGAACAGCAGCCAGCGCCAGGCCAGCCTGCGCACCAGCCAGCAGGCCAGCAGCTGTGCCAGCACCAGCACCAGCACCATCCACTTGAGGCTCGGGTCCGGCCGCATCAGGGCCTTGATGGCTGGGTACTTGGCTGCAGGGTAGACGGGGAGACGTGAGACCTTGCTCAGTGCGGCTGCATCCCGCCCTCCACACGCTTCTTCCCATGGCAGTGGCCAAGGAGAGAGAGGGTGGGAGCGGCCAGCAAACCTCACTGGTCCCTTTGCCCCTGGACACAGAAGCCAGTCACACTCAGTGCTGCCTGAGGGCCTGCTGCCCCCCACCCTGGCCGAGCCTTATCCTGCCACTCTCAGAGGGCAAGACTCCAGCAGGGGCACATGCAGCCCACACTGGCCGTCCACATCCCAGCTGTTCCCACCCAGCAGGTCCGTGCCAGCAGGGATGCCGCAGAGGCTGTGCCTCAGTGCTGCCTGTGCTTCCTGTGGGGGGCCTCAGCCCGGGGGTGCGTGCCTAGCACCTGCAGCAAAGTAATCCCAGGCAGGGAAGCAGTGTCTCCTGTGTAGCAGGCCAAGGGGACCTGCTGGCAGCTCCTGCTCAGGAAGGCTCTGGCCTAGGCACAGGACCAAGGAAGCTGCATGCAAAGTCTCATTTGCCTCCCCGGATGCAGGCAGACTGCAAACTCGAGGGCTCCACTGCCTCCCTCTCACCCAGGGATGCCCCTCACCCCCAGGGCAGTGGCCAGCCCTCCTGGGGACCTGCCAGCTCCAGGCCTACCCTCACCCCATCCTGTCTTTCCCAGGCAACCAGTCCCTGTTTCCTCTTGGAAGGAGGCCAAGCCTCAGGGCAAGAGGGAGGGGCCGGCCATACCTGGCCAGGTGAGCCACACACCCAGGTGAGCTCTGGGGAGGGTGGGCCCAGGCCTCCAGTGCTTGGGTACAGGCAAGCATAGGCCACTCCTGTGCCCCTCAGAGGCAAGAGCCACAACAGAGCCTGGCAGCCCTGTCCTTGGAGAGGGGGCCTCAGTTTCCCCATCTGCTGAACCAAGATACTAAGTTCTACCTGTGTGGGGCACTCTCAGGTCCCTCACCATGCCCTGTGCAGCCCACCTTCAGGGAGCCCCTTTCCCCAGCACCTCACAGGACTCAGCTGCCCCTCCAAGCCCTAACCTTCCCTCGGGGGCTCCACTCTGGACCGCCAGAGAGAGGAGAAACCTGCACACAGAAGGACAGCAGTGCCCACCCTGCCAGCCCCTCACCCAGCCCAGCTGTGGGCCAGTCCTGTCTCCCACAGACCCCAGAAACAGCCACTGGGCTGGCACATCCTACCGGCATGCCCCTGTTTTCTGAGTGTGTCTGCCAAGGTGTTTCCAGACTGGCAGCAAGTAGACTGAGTGGGGAAGGCCCGTCCTCAATGTGGGCCAGCACCATCCAATCAGCTGGGGCCCCAACAGAACAAAAAGGCAGAGGCAAAGGTTTTCCCTCCCTCCTCTCCTTCCCCTCCCTCCTTCCCTCCCTCTCTCCTTCCCCCTTCTTCGCTCCTTCCCCCTTCCCTCCTTCCTCTCCCCTCCTCTCCCCCTCTCCTCCTCTCTCTCCCTTTCTCCCTCTCTCCTTCCCCCCCTCCTCCCCTACTCCTTTGCCCCCTCCTCCCCCCCTCCTTCCCCCCTTCCTCCTTCCCCACCTCCCCTCCTTCCCTCCCTCTCTCGGAGCTGCAACACATACGCTTCTCTGGTCCTTGGATATCAGAACTCCAGCCTTTGGACTCCAAGAACTACATCAGCACCCCCAACCCCCACCTGCTCTCAGGCCTTCAACATCATACTAAGGTCTCTGGTCCTGAGGCCCTGCGACTCAGGCTGAACCACGCTATCCCTGCTGCCACCCCTGGGGCTCCAGCTTGCAGATGGTCTGTCCTGGGACTTCACAGCCTCCATAATCACATGAGCCAATTCCCCTAATAAATCCCCTCTTTGGATGGATGAATAGACAGATAATAAATACCCTCTTTGGATGGATGGAGGATGGATGGATGGATGGATAAAGCCAAGCATGGGGGCTTACACTATAATCTCAGCACTTTGGGAGGCTGAGGCAGGAGGTTTGCTTGAGCCCAGGAGGTCAGAATCAGCCTGGGCAACATAGCAAGACCTTATCTATGTGAAAAGTTTAAAAATTAGCCAGGTATGGTAGTGTGCACCTGTGGTCCCAGCTATTGGGAGGCTGAGGTGGAGGATTGCTTGAGCTAGGAGTTCAAGACTGCAGTGAGCTGTGACTGCACCACTGCACTCCAGCCTGGATGACAGTAATGGCAAAGAGAGAGAGAGAGAGTTGGGGGGAGAGGGAAGGGAGATGGAGGAGAGAGGGGAGAGAGAAGAGGAGAGAGGGGGAGAGAAAGGAGGAGAGAGAGGGAGAAAGAGGAAGACAAAGGAGGGGAGGGAGAGGGGGGAGAGGGAGAGGGGGAAGAGGGAGAGGGGGAAGAGGGAGAGGGAGGACAGGGAGGAGGGGGAGAGGGGAGAGGGGGGAGAGGGGGAGGGGGGATGGGGGAGGGAGGAGATAGATAGATCCTATTGATTCTGTCTCTCTGGAGAAACTGACTAATATGGGGCCTCTACCAGGGGCTCAAGGAAAGGGGGACAGGGAGAATGGGGGGAACTGCAGGGGAAGTCAATCAGTCCCATGGCCTTGGGTCCTATCTTCTCTAGGCCATAGGAGAGGGGGAAAGATCGAGGCAGAGAAGGACAGGGAGAGACACAGCTCGCTGGCAGCCCCACTAGGAATTGCAGGCCAGCATGGGCTCTGGCTGGATACCCAAATCTGGCCCAGACTGGGGACTCTGGCCTGCTGTGGGCACTCAGCTGACCTTAGGTGTGACTCTGGCCTCCCACACCTCCAGCCTGGATGGCAGGAGGACACATGTGCCTTGAGGGTTCCCTGCTCCATAAGGCAGCACAGAGCCCCACGTGCACAGCCACCTGAAACCAAGATAAACAGACCCACACAGACGGTCTCCAGCGGTGACCCCAGTGGGGCACAAGGCATCTGGGCAGGTGGCCATGAAAAACAGCTATTGGTAGAAGTCACCCTGTCCAGGTAGAACACACAAAGGACGGGTCTGAGGGCCGGGGAGGCACAAAGAAGGGCCCACCAAGGTGCAGCAAAGCTGACAGAGCCACAGCTTGAACTCAGGACCTGCACAATCCTGAGCAGGACTCAGACTCCATCAGCACCGATCTAGTGCTTGGCTACACTGCCACAAAGCACCCAGAGGAAACCCTGAATCGGGTCTGGGCACTTTGAGGGGCTGCGCACTTTGGGAGGCTTAGGCGGATGGATCACTTGAGGTCAGGAGTTCCAGACCAGCCTGGCCAACATGGTGAAACCCCATCTCTACTAAAAATACAAAATTATTAGCTGAGCAAGGTGGCATGTGCCCATAGTCTCAGCTACTCGGGAGGCTGAGGCAGGAGAATTGCTTGAGCTCAGGAAGCAGAAGCTGCACTCAGCCAAGTGAAGATTGTACCACTGGACTCCAACCTGGCAATGAGCAAGACTCCGTCTCAAAAAAAAAAAAGAAAAGAAAAAAAAAAAACAAATCCTTGATCCGGCTCAGTTAGACTCCTGTGTGCCCTTGGGCAAGCCCCTGCCCCTCTCTGGACTTGTCTCCTCAGTGTCCATCTGTAAGGTGTCTGCTCTGACAGCCTCTGTGGCTGTGAGCATATGGAGGTGGGGTCTTCCCTAGGGGCCCATGGGGAAGAAGGGGCAGCAGGTGCTGAGGTGTGAGATGTCTGGCACCAGCAGATCTGCACACTTACACCAGTTAGCAGGCTTGCACACAAAAACCCAGAGGGCAGAGCAGGAGGTAGGGCCTGCTGAAGGGAGGCCAGCCCGAAGCCCCCGGCACCCAAAGGACAGTTGCATCACCCTGGTGCAACTCTGATGAGTTACTGCTTTTGCCTAGAAATTTTTCTGACAAATCCACTAAGCCACTGAGCAGAGGGACTGCATCAGAAACAGGCAGCTGGGTCAGAAAGGCTGCTGGGCACTTGCCTCCAGCAGTGGCAGAAACAGGGCCTGCCCCATGTCAGACTCCTCCTCCCAGTTGCATGTCACTCGACCCCTGCACCTCCTGACTGAATGGCAATAAAGCCACTTCTGTTTTGTCCCCAGTGGGATTCCCAGAAGCAAAGGGTCCTTTTATCACTTCCATGCTGGGCACCTCTGGGCCCCCAAGGCCTCACTCTGGCAACATGTAAAATGATGTGCTCTACCACCTTCCCTGGGAGGACAAATGCCATCACATGACACTCACTGGCCACATGGGAGGTGCCCCTCGTCACAGCCCATCACCACCCCAACATTCCACCTCTGCTGCCATCTGCTTCCCAGCTCCCTGTTCCATCACAAAGCTGCTCAGGATTGATGATGCCACCTGGTGGCTGCAGCAGGAAATGCTTCCATACAACATGGCCTTTCCCACGCCCATCCACAGGTGAGTAACCAGACCTAGGATAAGCCTCTCCTCAGAAAGGCAGCAAAGCTCTCCTAATCCCCTCCTTCCTAAACACCTTCCTCCTAGCCCTGGCCTAAGCTCTGGGAAGCCACCTGCCCACAGGTTCCATCTCTGCCACCTGAGGTTTTGTGCCAAGACTATCCTGATCCTGTCTCCAGTATGGGAGGCACCCTGGGACCTAGTAGGATCTGGAAAGTGTGGAAAGTGCCCACCTTCTCACCAGCTGCTCACGAAACCTGCCTTTCATTCCAGTGACAAATACATACTGAAGGTCTGGGAGCCCCCGTTCGTCACAGAGATGGGGGTACCTGCAGCTGGGCAGCTCCATGGCTGGGAGATGGAACCCCAAGTTCCCTGGTGGCTCCAGCAGTTTGGGTCGGATTTTAACCACTTGGCACTGACAGAGTCCCAGCCTCGGCCTTTCTGAAGCAAGTAATCCAACAATGGCCTGCAGTCTCACTTCCGGGTTTTCCTCTTTTGTTTTTATTTGCTTTTATTACCATGTGTGCCCTTTCATAATTTAAAAACAAACAAAATTACAAAGCTATTCATTAAAAACAAAAACAAAAACCCAAAGCCTGCTTCTTATTCCACCGGCCACGCCTGGCTGGGTCTCTGATAGGGCCAGTCTCGGTGGCTCTGTCCTGCCCTCTCAGTCCAGGGAGCCTCAACCCTGGCCTAGGGGACCCCACTTTCTTAGGAAGTTTTGCCCTAGGGAGTGTGTCCCCCTCCCGGGCAGGAGCTGGAGGCGGACTTTGGCCCCAACCCACAGAGCTCGTAGAGCCAGCTCTTTGCAAGGACTTCCTGGGTTCTGACTCTGAGATTAGGATCTTTATTGAACATCCCTGGGCACCAACTGGGTGGGGCAGGAGCTGCCTGAGCACCAGCCTGGCCTCTGTGGTCCCTGGCAAGTTGCTTCCCCTCTGAGTCTCACTCCTGCCTCTTCTGTAAAGAGACACTGCCAGTTACACAGAGCATTTCTCTGGGGACTAAGGACAGCTCAGCCATGGAGAAGGCAGAGTACTCCCTGTCCTCAGGGAAACTAAGGACTTTCCAGGCCTATCTCTGAGACACTCATGGAGTCCCCGAGGGAGCACTTTACACATCACCTCATTCAGTCTGCATGAAACCCCATTAGGAAGGTTTTATTTCCTAACCCCTTTTAACTTGCCTGGACTCAATTCCTTGTGTTTACAGACACACCCATAGCTAAGGAGTGGGTGTTAGGGTCCTTGCCAGGAGATCAGCTCCACAGCCAAGTGCTTGAACTCTGCCCCAAAGAGCCCAGAGAGGGCTTGGAGCCATGGAGGGGGACCCAGAGGAGGGGTTCCCATCCAGCTGTGCCAGGTCTGGGAGCAGCCCGAGGCGCTGTCTGCAGGAGGTGAGATTGTGAGCAAGGCTAAGCAAGAGAGAGCCTGGCAGAGCAGGAAGGAGGGACACTCACACGGGGAACAGCTTGTGTCAGTGCCAGGGAGAGAGAGAATGGGACATTCCAAGTTTATTAGCTCAGAACAACAGGTGGAAAGGAAGTACCTGCTTCCTCTCTGCAGGGAAAGAAGCGTGGGCCAAGCTCCCTGGAGAGCCAGCCCCGGGGACGTGTGCTCCCCAAGCCCTGGCCCAGGTGCCTCTCCCTCTTCCAAGTCTTTCAACCTTCTCGGCCACCCACTCCAGAAAGTCTCCTGCATTGGTTCCAGGGCCTGTGGCTTCCCTCCTTAGAGAGACTTCCTTCCCCATGTCCTGGAGTGCCAGGTACCACCCCGAGCACCTTCCCAGGTGAGGTCTCATCTTGTCCTCACATCTATTCTGCCTGGTAGGACAACTGCCCATTTTGCAGATTGGGAAAGTGAGGCCGCAGCCCTGGGTCCCTCCAGGGGGCTCTGGGGTAGGCCCGGCTCCTATTCTATGGTCATGAGTTCCTAGACTCTGGCTGCCATGTGTCTCCCACCTTTTCCTCATGGGGCCAGATGCCCAGTGAGTCCTGTTAGGGGAAGCTGGGGACAGCCAGGGGAGGGGACAGAAATGCAAACAGGGCCAAGGAAAGCCCTGCTCCAGCCTCAGTCCCGCCTCAGCCCTGCTGAGAGGCAGTAGCCAGGACACCTGCCCTGTTCACATGATGAGCAGGGAGGACAGTCAGATGACCTTCAAGCTTCCTCCCAGCCTCCGCAGGAGCTCCACAGCACAGGGGAGGCAGCTACCACTGTTGGGGCCAGACGGTGCTGGGCTGCTGCTCACCTCCCAGGAGAAACCACAGCACTCACAAACCCACCCAGAGTTTCCAGCTCCTGAGGCCACAGCTACCTTGGGATGCAGTCACAGGTCAGCAACTCGATGTATCTTGCATTTCAAGAATTTAAAAGTCATGATATCTCAATATGCTGCCACGGGATTAAAAAAGCAGCAAAGCAAAGCACAGCCAGGCACATCCTGTAATCCCAGCACTTTGGGAGGTAGAGGCAGATGGACGGGGGGCGGGGGTGGATCACCTGAGATCAGGAGTTCAAGACCAGCCTGGCCAACACGGTGAAACCCCATCTCTACTAAAAATGCAAAAATTAGCTGGGCATGGTGGTACAGGCTGCTCAGGAGGCTGAGGCAGGAGAATCTCTTGAACCTGGGAGGCAGAGGTTGCAGTGAGCCAAGATTGTGCCACTGCACTCCAGCCTGGGCAACAGAGCAAGACTCCATCTCAAAAAATATATATTAAAAAGAAAAAATAAATAGTATGGATATTTCCATATTCTTGGGATGGGTCAGAAAGGCACCAAAGTGGAAAAACTCTAAAGAAAAAAATCCAATCAATTCAACCGCATTTTTTTAAAAAAAAAGTTGTTAAAGCGTCTGTGACAGCAAAAGGCAAAGTATGAACGGGGAATACATTTCCAGCATTTAAAATACCAAGGGTTAAAGAACAAGCTCTTTGGATTAACAAGCAAAAGACCAAACCCAAGAGAAGGAATTCAAATGGCCAGTTAATGCCACACTTTGGGAGGCCACGTGGGCGGATCACTTGCGGTCAGGTGCTCCAAACCAGCCTGGCCAACAAGGTGAAATCCTGTCTCTACTAAAAATACAAAAAATTAGCGGGCCTGGTGGCAGGTGCCTGTAATCCCAGCTGCTCAGAAGGCTGAGGCAGGAGAATCGCTTGAACCTGGGAGGCGGAGGTTGCAGTGAGCTGAGATCGCGCCATTGCACTCCAGCCTGGGGGACAGAGCGAGACTCTATTTCTATCTATATAAAACAAAACAAAACGACCAATTAAAATTTGAAACCATCCATCAAATAAGTGCAAATTAAAGCCCCAATGAAAGAGTATTGCTTCCCCGATCTGACTGAAGATTACAGTACAGGTGTGCCAGCGCGCTGTGCTGACAGGCAGGGGAGCCTTCCGCGTGGAGGGGGAGGGGCAGGCCTGCCTCCACCTGGCCTCTGGGAATTTGGTGGCATCCAGCAAAAGCCACTCTCCAGGCCCAGGCCCTTTGGCCCCGTAAGCCCGGGCCAAGAACGACTCACCCGGGCCACCCTGCTTGTGGGTTGGATGGAGCCTCTGGCATGAACGACGGCGACTCCAAATGGGTAAAAAGATGTCCTCCTTGCAGAGGACACGAAGCGACAAAGAAAGCAACCACCACATAATAAGCGACATGCCAGAATAGACAGAGGTCCTCTCAAAGAAAACGACGCGCGCCTCTCATTCGCCTTTGCTCCCTTTCCGGCGCTCATCCGCCCTGATCTCCAGCCTGGGGCGCCCGTGGCCGCGGGACCCAGGGGTCTGAGCGCAGCGGGCGCCCAGTGGCTGCGGGTGGAGGCCCCGCGGCGCGGAAGATGCCTCAGCGCCAGGGAGCGCGTGCGCCTCGTAGCGCGTCCCGGGGCCGCCCCTGGCCCTCGGGTCCCAACGCCCCGGCTACAGCCCCGGCCCCGGGAGTGGCTCGTGTCCCGCGGCCCTCAAGGAGCAGCTGAGACGCGCCCCCCGACTCGGAATCCGCAGGTCCCTGGGGAGTTTCAGACCCGGCCGGGATGGGGACCCTGAGGGAGCCGGCCGGGGACGCCAGGGAGGGGAGTGGAGATGGCAGAGCGCCCACTGGCTTTCGGACCCTAGCCGGAGCGGCCGTCTGGGCTCTACTCCCCGACGCGACTCGAGAACGGCCTTTGGGGTGGTCCCCACCCTGCGGGAGCCCCGTGCCGCGCTCACCCAGTATCTCCTTGCGCCTCTGTGTGTGCGGCTGGTCGGTGTAGACCCACTCGAAGTCGCTGCGGCCCGCGCTGTTGCCCATGGTGGGGCGGAGGACGCCGTTCGGAGCGCGGCCGGCTCGGCTCTGCTGCACCTGTCGCGGCGGCCAAGGCGCGGAACCGGCTCCGGTCTGGGCGGGGGGCGGGGTCCGGGCGGGGCGGGGCCAGGTGCGCCAGGCCTGGGGCGGAGCGCCTCTGGCTTGGCGGGGCGGCCGGGCCCCCGCGCCCTCTAGATCCCGGCGGGTCGCGGGACCGTTGGGAGCCTCAGTTGCCACGGTTGGAAATGGGGCTCCCCGGCGGGACCGAGGTGGCCGCGCCCCACGGAGGAATCGTTGGCGGGAGAGAGGGACTGCGGAGGATCGGCGTGGAATGCACACGATGGTGCCGGTAAACAGGCGCTCAGGGAAGGCTCCTGCAACAATTCTCCCTTCCTCAGCCCACCCCTTCACCAGTAACACGAAGGAGAGAATGCCTCTGCAGCAACCTCACAGGGGTGAGTCAGACCCACTCCTGCCTTCAGGGAACTTGAGGTCTGGATGAGGACACAGGTACAGAAGTGGCTGTTATGATTCAAGGTAATACGTGCCATGACACAGGCCCTGAAGCAGCTAGGGTCCAATAGAAGGAATTTTTGCACTGGGCCTTGAAGGATGGGTAGGAGTTCAACAGCTAGAAAAAGGGAAAGGTATTGGTGGTAAAGGGAACAGCAGATGCAAAGGTTCTGAAACAAGGAAGAACCTGAATGTTCTCAAATGTCCAGTTTGGGGGGTCGGGACATAGGGCCCCCATCTTCACCTTCTCAGTGATGCCTCTGTTCCTTTTCCCACTCCCTTGGAGCTTTGGAAGGTGGATCTCTGTGCATGTGGACCACAGCCTGGTCTCCGTGCGCTCGCGTGTGCGCGCACACACACACAGCATTGGAAAGCAGGGACTCTTGTGGACTGGAAACCAAGAGGAAGCCCGGCATGGCCAGCTACTCTTCTGTGGGCCCTTGGCCTCCCTCCACACCCCCATTTCCCCTGGGCGGGGCGGCAGCAAGGGTCGGGTGTGCCTTAGTTCTCAAGAGGTCCCCAGGCCTGAGTGCTCTGCGAGGAGCAGGAGGCACCTCCACCCAAAAGCCTCAGCGACAGTGTTGCTGCCACATGTTTGCAGAAAACAGGCCAGAAGACATTCCTGGCTGCCCTCCACACCTCCCCGGAGCCAGCAAGGAGTCAGACACCCCATGACCCAGAGGCAGCACACGTCGGAGGAAAGCTGGTGTGATTAAAGGGCAACCAACCCTAGAAGAGCCTGACAAACAGCTATTGAGGAAAGCAGACCACGAGGGAGGAGTGAGAGCAATGACCCCAAGATGAAACTAAGTGGGGGCTCACACCTGTAATCCCAGCACTTTGGGAGGCCGAGGCCGGTGGATCACTTGAGGTCAGGAGTACCAGCCTGGCCAACATGGTGAAAACCCGCCTCTACTACAAATACAAAAAAATTAGCTGGGCGTGGTGGCACATGCCTGTAATCCCAGCTACTCAGGAGGCTGGGCAACAAGAGTGAAAACCCAGGAGGCGAGGATTGCAGTGAGCCGACATGGTGTCACTGCATTCCAGCCAGGGCAACAAGAGTGAAACTCCATCTCAAAAATAATAATAATGGTTTGCTGAATGAACGATGGAAGGCATGAGTCTTCAGACTGAAAGGCTTGAGTGTCAACACACTGAAACGTGGTTTAATCACTCTGGGAAACTCCAGTCATCTCTGAAAGCTGCCCATGCCTGGGTTATACCAAGAGAGGTGAACGTGTGTGCCCACCAGACGCGTGTGCAAGAATCGTCCCAGCAGCTTCACTGGTAAGAGCCAAAGCTGAGTAACTCGTGTCCAACAAGAACAACAAAACAGGAGGAATGGAGAAGGCGCCTTGCTGCCTCCTTACGCTGCAGCGGTGGGCGGTAAAAAAGACGAATCACTGCCACCCACAGCAACATTTTTCTTTTTTGCGTCTGATGCTTTGGCATCCTGGAACCTAGCTGACCTAGAGAGGCTGCCCTCCCAGGACTCACATTCCTCCTCAGATGCCAATGGCCACCCCAGAGCCCACCACCTCCGCTGTCTCTCACACTAAGGCCCAAAATTACCCCGTCCTGATCACACCAGGGCCAGCTACCAAGAAAACTGGAGACAGCCCCTCTGTTCCAGAGCCCTGAAATTCCTCAAACCAGCCAGTGCAAAGCCTGCTCACCCTGCCTCGACTGTCCCTTTCCATAGAAACCCCAATAACGGCTCTTGCTCACGGTTCCCCCTCCTCCCCCGGACTCCAGCAGACCCCAGCGCTCCCCGCGGCCCCCCGCCCCGCCTCAGCCCCCACGCCGTGCAGACGCTGCCCCTGTTCTTGGGAACTGTGAGTAATCAGCTTTTCAACGGCTACACCCCCTGATCTGTGGGCCTCACTGCACCTGATAAAACCTCCGTTTTCAGGCGGTCGGCGCAGCGAGCGGGGTGGAGTGAGGCGCAGCTGCGCTGCTCTGGGCTCAGAAACGGGTTCCACCCGGCGGCCGTGGACCAGCAGTGCGGCCACCTGCGCTCGCTCCTGCCGGGTGCGCCGCCTCGGGCACCTCTAGGCTCCGAACTCGGGGGCTGGGTCCTCTGAGCTCTGATCTGAGCTGCACCTGCCTCGCTTCCGGGCTGGCTGGCCAGGTTCCCCAAGACTCCTCCAAAGGGAATGGGGGTAGGGGGGTGCCCCTCAGAGGCCCCGCCGGCGGCGCTGCTAAGTGGGAGCAATCCGAGCTTCAGGCTGCCTGGGGGGGGGAGCCGCAGGGCGGGGGAGGCACCCTGAAGTGGGGTTGGGGGAGCCCGTCTGGGGAAGTGGGCCGGGGAGCTCTTCACTCTCAGGAGCTCAGTGTGAGGACCCCCCCCCCCCACAGGGACCAGGGGGGCAGGAGACACCCTATCCTCAGGACCAGGGGCACAATGTTTAATAGAAGGACAGAGCACCCTATCCCTGCCCTGTATGAGACCCCGGAGGAGGTCGCCAGTGGATTCGGGAACGTGCTCCGGTGATGCCGCATGGGCCTTCCTGAGCACCGCTGTTTATGGCAGGGGAGGACCCTCAACGCAGCCTTAAAAATACCGACAGGGTCACTCTCCCACAGCGGCTCCAGAGTCCTTGGGGGTTGGGTGAGACAGCACCTAAGGACAGGGCCACGAGGGGCCGGCAGGACTTTGTCTGATAAACACCGAAAAGATAAACGCAGTGGGAAACAAAACTCAAACGGAAAACTGTTACCCACCCAGAGATGCAAGCCGTTCTAACAGGCTTTGCGTAAAGAAGAAGGGTTTCTTTTTCCAAACACTGGCTGCAGAAAGGGCAGTCTACCCCCACACCCCCGCCTGTCACACACACACCTGCACCAACACCCACACACACCCGCCCCAACACCCACACACACCCCGCTTGTCACACACCTGCCCCACACACACACCCCAACACCCACACACACACACCTGCCCCACACCCCCGCCTGTCACACACACACCTGCCCCAACACCCACACACACCCGCCCCACACACCCAACCCACACCCAGCCTGTCACACACCTGCCCCACACACACACCCCAACACCCACACACACACACCTGCCCCACACCCCTGCCTGTCACACACATACCCACCCCAACACCCACACACACACACCTGCCCCACACCCCTGCCTGTCACACACATACCCACCCCAACACCCACACACACACACCTGCCCCACACCCCTGCCTGTCACACACATACCCACCCCAACACCCACACACACACACCTGCCCCACACCCCTGCCTGTCACACACATACCCACCCCAACACCCACACACACACACCTGCCCCATACCCCCGCCTGTCACACACACACACCCCACACACCAACCCCAACACCCATACACCCGCCCCAATACCCACACACCTGCCCCAATATACCCACACATCCACTCCAACACACTTGCCCCACACACCCGCCCCAATACACACACACCTGCCCCACACCCACCCCCCACCCCCGCCTGTCACACACCCGCCCCACACCCCCGCCTGTCATACCTGCCCCACGCACCCACTCCAACACCCACACACACACACCAGCCCCACACCCCTGCCTGTCACACACCTGCCCCACACACCCACCCGCACCTCCCCCAACACATACCCACCCCAATATACCCACACATCCACCCCAACACACACTCGCCCCACACCCCCGCCCCACACCTGCCCCAACACACCCGCACACACACACCCCACACCCCTGCCTGTCACACACACACCTGCCCCACACACCCACACACCTCCCCAACACACATCCACCCCAACACACATGCCCCACACACCTGACCCAACACACCCACCCCAACACCCACACCTGCCCCACAACACCCCACACACCTGCCCCAACACATCCACCCCAACACCCACACACCTGCCCCACACACACCCGCTCCACACATCCGCCCCCACACACCTGCCCCAGCACACCCACCCACCCACCCCAACACACCCACACACACCCCAACACACAGCCACCCCAACACACCCATGCACACCCACCCCACACCCATGCACACCTGCCTCAACACACCCATCCCAACACCCACACACACCTGCCCCAACACACCCACATGCCCGCCCCACACACACACCCACTTCTCACACACCAACCCCAACACAGCCCCACCCCAACATACACCCTGCCCCCAACGCACCCACCCCAACACACACGTGCACCCACCCGAACACACACCTGCCCCCAACACACATCCCCACCTCACACCCAACACACACCCCACACACACCTGCCTCAACACACCCACCCCAACACACACCTGCCCCCAACACACACATCCCCACCTGACATCCCCCAACACATACCCCACACGCCTGCCCCAACACACACCTGCCCCCAACATACACCCCAACACACACCTGCCCTCAACACACATCCCAACACACACCTGCCCCCAACACACCCCAACACACACCTGTTCCCAACACACACCCCAACACACACCTGCCCCAACACCCCAACACACACCTGCCCCCAACACACACCCCACACACACCTGCCCCAACACACCCACCCCAACACATACCTGCCCCCAACACACACATCCCCACCTGACACCCCCAACACACACCCCACACACACCTGCCCCAACACACCCACTCCAACACACACCTGCCCCCAACACACATCCCCACCTGACACCCCCAACACACACCCCACACACCTGCCCCAACACACACCCCAACACACACCTGCCAACACACACCCCAACACACACCTGCCCCCAACACACACCTGCCCCAACACATACCCCAACACACACCTGCCCCCAACACACCCCCCAACACACACCTGCCCCCAACACACCCCCCAACACACACCTGCCCCCAACAGACACCTGCCCCAACACATACCCCAACACACACCTGCCCCCAACACACCCCCCAACACACACCTGCCCCCAACACACCCCCCAACACACACCTGCCCCCAACACACACCCCACACACACCCCTGCTGCCACCACTTTCCTCTTAGCCAGAGACAAAACACAAAAGCTTTAGGTGGCCAAAATCCTAAAATGGAACAAAAGGGGGAGGAGAAGAAGGAAAAAAACACCCTGGGTATAGGAGGGGGAGGAAAGAGGAGCCAATAAATTATATATGATTATATTTATTAAACACACAATAAATATGTGTGTTTTATAAATTAAAACAAAGGTCCATAATTCAACCCAATTAGAATCACATAAAAGGAGGAAAAGTTTGGGCTCAGTGGCTGGGTGTGGTGGCGGTGCCTGTAATCCCAGCTACTCGGGAAGCTGAGGCAGGAGAATCACTTGAACCCAGGATACAAAGGTTGCAGTGAGCAGAGATCACACCACTGCACTCCAGCCTGGGCCACAGAGGGAGACTGCATCTCAAAAAAAAAGGATGCAAAGCGCACTGACTGGCTTTTGTGTCTCTAAACAAATAGGCTCTAAATTAATTTTAGCATTTGCTAAAATGCACCAATTGACAGAACTTCGTGGACTTAATCTATACTGTGGTTCAAATTAGTTATACCTGAGAGTCCTACTAAATTTATTTGTGTTTCAGTGTTTTCGAGATGGGGTCTCACTCCGTCGCCAGGCTACAGTGTAGTGACGTGACCACAGCTCGTTGCAGCCTTCAACTCCTGGGATCAAGTGATCCTTCCACCTCAGCCTCCCAAGCAGCTGGGGCTGCAAGTGTGCACCGCCACATCCAGGCTTATTTTATTTATAGAGATGGGATCTCATTATGTCACCCAGGCTGGCATCAAAGTCCTGGCTCCCAGAGCACTGAGATTATATGATACCTATAAAGTGCTGACACTATATGAGCCAGTGCACCTGGTCCCCCGCTAAATGTAAACATTGTGGCCTTTTATAATCTTAG